TCAAAATCAAGGAAGCGGTACAATAAATCTGAATTACAGTACATCTGAGCCATAAATACATTTTTTTAAGTATATACTTTTTTTTCTCTTCTTCTATTAAAAATTAGTTTATAATCCTGATTCTATTCACAATTAACAATTTCATCATCACACACTACGGACAAAAAAATGTTATGGTGAACACAGCTGCAGCTCCGCGGCGGGAGCACAGGGAGGGCAGGGAGCGGGGAGAGGGGGCCGGGGGCTCCTAGGCTCACCCTAAAACAACCAGTCAGAAGCAGGAGGACTAACGTGTGGCAGTGAGACAGCAACACCATGGGGACTCACAGACAGAAGCAGCTTTGTTCAATGTAAACATCGATCGGAAGGGACAGCAGTCTCTCTCTCGCGCGTGCGTGCTCTCTCTCTCTCGCTTTCCATAGACTGAATAATTTCTTTGAAAACGTAAACATATTGGAAGTGCCTTGACTGAGGTATTGAGGTATTCCTCCAAGGTTAAGGCTGTTACCGATGCAGGCTCAGCTGGGCCTCCTGCAGCAAGCTGTCGAAATCCATGGTCTCGTACTTGCTTTTCACCGGAGCTGGGGAGGACTCCTCCACGCCGCAATCTGGGAACGGCAGGGACACAAGGCAGCCGGGTCAGGGAGTGGGGCATGGATGTGCTCCCTGCCTGGCAGGGAGGGAAACTGAGGCATGGCAGGGCACTGCTCGCTCCCTCACTACCGACATGCTGCACCCCAGCACCGTGAGCCAGCCGGGACGAGGTGGTGATGGTGAAAGGCAGTGAGGACGGTGCTGGCTCTGCCCCATTGAAAAGCGGCTGTTGGGCAGAGGGGCTGTAGCAGTGCCCAGCCCGGCCGGTCACACCCCACAGACACCCATTCCCAGGTGCGCAAAAACCTGTCAGATTCGTGCCGATTGTGGGGAGGGGGGTGCCTGTCTGCTGCACTCCCCAGCCTCCATCAGAACCTGAGCACACAGTGCCACCGCAAAGCCTGGGAAATCCAGCAAATGCCAGAGATAAGGCTGCCTGATTTAACAGCAGCTGAACCCTCCTGAGTGTGCATTTTTGAATGAGCCAGGAATGGCATGGCTGCATTTCACCTCTGCCCGTGGGCTCCCTCTCCATCCCATCCCACACCCAGGCGAGCAGGATTGTAGGAACAGATTGTGCAGGATGGGGTGACTGCTGACCTTGCAAAAACCTGCAGGTGAGGAGCATTGGGGGGAGGTTCTCCTGTGCAGGGGGCAGCTCTGGCCCCCCTCCTCGCAGCACTACACAGCCACATGCCAACATCCTCATCTTGGAGTGCTATCTGTTTCTTACCTTCACCATGCCCAAAAGGAGAGGCCCTGTTTGAACAACAGCCATTTGTGCCCACAAGCAAAGTCAGAGGGACTGCTGCTCTGAGCAGATGAGATATTACAAGGTGATAAAGGATCAGGCAATACATGTGTTAAACTGGGAACCTAGAGACTTGGGGCTTTATTTTCTGGGCCTGTCTTTCATGCATGAAGTGGGACAGTAGAACCACTTCACCCCCTGTGCAGGGTACAGCAATAAATGTGTGGTGTTCAGGAAACACCTGCAGATCACAGCAATGGGGGCTGGGTGAAGCCTGGGTCCCATTTCCTTTGCAGGACAGCACAGGATTTGCTCCTGTCCTGCAGCTCAGGCTGCAGCCCTACATCCGCGGCAGGAGGGGGTCTAACACAGTCGCTGAGGGAGACAGGAGGTCGTGCAGAAACCCGCACAGCACAGAAAGAGTTAATGCGACTGCAGCACAGTTCAGTGGCATCAGTGCCTGTGCAGTTTGGTGAATGTGTCCTGCAGCAAACCACCCAGAACACTTCTTGGGCTAATGAGGTGTCGCTCACTGCTTTCTGTAATGGCTGAGAAGGGGCTTCTCTGCTGGGAAGTGTCCACTCTATGTGGAAAAGCAGCGGATACAGGACGGGATGTGGTCAGCTGAGACCCAGCAGCCCAGAGTTGTGATGCTACATTTCACAGCCAACACACTCCCAGTCCTCACGCTAGGTGCTTTTCTTCTCTCCCCCCAGTTTCCCAAGCCATCCAGCTGAGCTAAGAGCAGTTACATGAGCCATAGGAGAGCCAGTGGGCTTTCCCTGCAGGGTCTAAAGAGGTTTAGGATCCTTGCGTGACAATGGTTTGGCAGTGCAACATGCCGTTATGGCTCTGTCCTGATAAGCAGGATGCTTTGGAAAAAGCAGCTCCTGGTTCTTACCCAAGTCAGCGTATCTGGTCCAGAAGAAGTGCCCGAGGCCACCAGAGCTGAGCTGGAATGAAGGCTCGTTCCTCTTCCTTAGCGAGGTGCCATTCTTCAGAGATAAGGCGGCGTGCTCTGAATACCGGTAGGTGATGAAGCCATATTTATCCCCCCTGAGCAACCAGAGAAAGAATTCAAGATATGACAGGCCCTGCAACCCCTCTGATGTGGCTCTGCCCAGCATTGCACCCCTGTCCCTGCATCCCACCATCCCTCCATCCCACCACCCCTCCATTCCACTGTCCCTCCATCCTGCCATCGCTCCATCCCAGTGTCCCTCCATTCCAGCCCTCCCCATGCCCTCGGACTTCAGACACATTGCCCCTCCTTGCCCGAAGCGCCCGGATCGCGGGCTGCGGGGACTGAGGGGGTTGGAGTGGTGCACAGCACTTCACCCGCCTGGCACAACCGTATCCCTGGCACAGGCACAGCTGGATGCCTGGGTGACCCTGCACCACCTGGCAGAGCTGATGCTGCCTGGGGAGAGGGGTTGCCCATAGCTACCGGAGCCCCGACCGCGGCTCGCTCCCCACCCACCTGTTAGTCCTGGACAGGACCTGACACTCCACGATTTCACCAAACACTTCAAAGCGTTTCTTCAGTTCGCTGGAGCTCATGCTGCTGGAGAGGTTTCTGATGTACACCACCCGGCCTTCCCCCTGCAAGGCAAGCCCAGGGTTTCAGGCTCCGGGACCCCACCTCTGCGTTGCTGA